TTAGGTGGGGATTTTTCCTGCTGTTGATTATTAACCAATAATTGTAATCCTGGGAGTAGATCCCTAGGGCTAGAACTGGAGCTTATTGAGATGCCAGGAATGTTTTTGTGAGACATTTAAACAGCCCTGAACCCTTGGTTCTTTGTTTTTCACTTGGAGACCAGATCTCCATTTTATGAAATACATAATCATCATCAATCATCATCATCATCATCGACTATATTTGTATGTAGGACTTTGTGTTTTATTTTATAGCCATTACTTTTAATTCCTCAGAATGTTATTACCTGCATCTTTGCAGGCGAAGGGACTTAGACAAAGAGAGATGAGGTAACTTAACCAAGGTCACACAGTAGACTCTCAGGGAAAGCCAGACTTGAATGTAGGAGTCTCTTGATTCCTAGTGTAGCATCTTATAAGAGATGGTGAACTGTTGTAATGACCTCAGGCGTCTGGGGCAGAGCCACCTAGGGTGAGGTGAGGACCCTGGAAGCCTAGGTGTTGTCACAGGGACTCTCACAGCTTCTTCTCCAGGTCCCTTTGGTTCTTTTCTCGTGAATGCATTTGGCTAAAGGCCAGGGCCGCTGCTGACCTCTCTGAGCCCTCCCATGTGCTCAGGATCTTTCATACTTTAGGGAAAGAATCCCAGAGTGGGACGCATCAGCGCCACCTGGCCCTGGGGTGGCAGAGATGCTGAGTGAGGAGCTCAGGGTCTCCAGGACCCCTGATCTGCCCATTCAGCCACCTGCATAGCCCTCTCTTTCAGCTGAGTGTACAAATTTCCTCTTCCTCTGGCTTCCTCTCCTCTTTGGGTCCCTCTGGGTCCTTAGTTGGATCTGGGACCCTATGGCCTTAGAGCCTGTGTGAGTTCTGTCTGGGTTGGTCACGGGCGGTTTTCAGTCTCGGGGTCACGACACATGGCAGGATCACTGTGGCTTACACGAAAGTTGTCCCCTCTGCTAATCATTTACCTTTTGCTCATCATAAAGGAGAGCAGATTCAAGGTTATACCTTGATATAATCACACCATTTCCCTTTCTTGTGTGTGATATGTTTGCCTGAGTGAGAGAGAAAGAGCTGCCCCTTCTCTGAGCATGCAGCTCTTACTCTATCTTATCTTTGTACCAGCTGGTGGCCAGGTCTGGCCTGGCTGTCCTGGGAGCAGGGTGGCTCACATGCAAATGTCATTGTCATGAGGACTGGGGCAGGACAAGGTCGAGCACAGCAGATCAGAGCAGAGAGGTGGGGCAGAAGCATGGTTGTTTTAGTCAGCTTTTTTTTGCCTCTGTGATGGGAAGACCTGACAAGAACAATTTTAGGGGGGGAAAAGTTTATTTCAGGGCTCACGGTTTCAGAGGTCTTAGTCCATAGATGGTTCCATTCCTCGGGGCTCGAGTTGAGGCAGGACATCCGGGCTGAAGAGTGTGGCAGAGGGAAACAGCTCACCTGACGGTCAGGAAGCAGAGAGATACAAAATATATATCCCAAAGGTGCACCCCCAGTGCCCACCTCCTCCAGCCACACCCTGCCCACCTTCAGTTGCCAGTCAGTTAATCCATTCGGGGATTAATTCACTGATTGGATTAAAGTCATCATGACCCAATCGTTTCACCTCTGAATGTTCTTACATTGTCTTATGCATGAGCTTTTGGGAGGCACCTCATATCTAAACCATAGCAATGGATTTCACCTTCTTGTTTTTGTACCAGTCATGAGACCAAGGCTGGAACTAACTGGGGACATGGGCTATGTATTGTTCCTGTTAAGACTGTCATTACCATGCACTGCTGTGTTCCCTCTGACAACTCTAGGGCAGTGTCCTCCCTTGCTGCTTCTTCCTCTTTTTTTTTTTTTTTTTTTAATGGTACTAGGGATTGAACCCAGGGGCATTTAGCCATTGAGCCACATCTCCAGCCCTTTTGAAACATTTTTATTTAGAGAAAGGGTCTTACTAAGTTGCGTAGGGCCTTGCTAAATTGCTGAGGCTAGCTTTGAACTCATGATCCTCCTGTGCCACTGGGATTACAGTGGGATGCCATTGTGCCTGGCTTCCCGCTGTTTCTTGTAGCTTCTGGTGGTGACTGCCAATCCTTGGCATTCCCAGCTTTTGGTTGCTTCACTCCAGTTTCTGCCTCCACTATCACATGGCGCTCTCCACATGTCCTTGCCTTTACTGGTTGCCTTCCCTTCTTATAGGGACATTGGTCATATTGAAGGCTTCCCCTGTGAACTCATCTTGATTATATATGCAAAGATCTTATTTCCAAATAAGGCCCTAGTCATGGGTACTGCGGATGAGGATGTCACCATATCTTTTTGGGGAACAATTTCAACCCTTAACAGGCAGTTAACTCTAAAGTAGAGGGGACGGCTGCAGCCAAGAGTGGGAATGGTGCAGTGTGGCCCACACTAGCCCACAGGTGCCCCTCAAAGCCATTCAGATATCAAGGCAAGGTGGACTTTAATTTGTAGCCAAAAGCCTGTGCATACTCTGAGTTCTGATCTTTCTGAAGGCAGCATCCATGCCTTCTGCCCACCCTGGTCTCCTTTATGGGGACCTGGACACAGCCCTGGAGCTGGCAGGAAGTTGTTAGCCACAAGTGTTCATTCCTGCTCCCAGGTGTCACTTGGAAAACCCTTCTGGCAGAAACTGCCCTATGTTCCCACTTGATGGTCTTTACCACTCACTGCTTCCAGGAGTTTTTCCAACATTCAGGGGAAACAGGCTGATTCAGGGGAGAGGGCTCAGCCCAGGGAGGGTTGGTGTTGGGGGCCGTTTGCTTGGGACTCAGAGACTCTGGACCATAATCATATCGGTTCTGGATCTATGGATGTGGACATAGAACTCTTGGCCAGTGATGTTAACAACCTGCCACATTGCCCTTCTCTAGGGTTTGTGTTCCTGGAGAGCCTGGGTTGCTGTTGATCAAGGTGTTTACAAGCTATCTCCAGGGGAGTGGGCCAGTGATCCTTCTAAGCTCAGAGCATCCTGGTGGCTGCTGGGTGGGGATCTTTTTTTTTTTTTTTAAGTATTAAAAAAAGTTTTTTTTTTTTAGTTGTAGATGGACACAACTACAACTAATTATGTTATTTATTTATTTTTTTTGTGGGGCTGAGGATCGAACCCAGTGCCTCACACATGCTAGGCAAGCGCTCTACCACTGAGCCACAACCCCAGTGCTCAGTGGGGGTCTTGCCTGCCCTCTGTTCTTGCTTGGTTTTCCCTGCCAGCCTTCCAGCCCCAAGGGGAGCTACCCTGTTATCACTTTAAGGGACTTGAGGATGGTGCTCCCTGTCCTCGATCGTCCTTCCTTCCTTCCCCTCCCAGCTCCTGCTTCTCAGGGGCCAGGCCCATGGAGGAGGAGTAGTGGCTGCTTGGGAGTGGGCTGAGGAGAGTGGAGCCTGTGCTGGACCAGCTCTGTTGAGTCCACAGATAGGACCCATGGAGGTCATGTCTGAGGTCAAGTATGGAAGGGGAGGCTGGTGGCTCTAGCTGCAAGATAGAAGGAGCTGGTGCATTTCTTTATCTGAGTGTGAATGGGAGTGCATGTGTGTGTTCATGTCCTGAGTCTTGGCCTTGCTGGTTTCTTGAGCCAGTTACAGTTTGGATTAGGAGGGGGGAGAACCCCCTCTCCAACTCTCATAGGTCACATCACCAAGGTCCAGGAAGAAATTAAGACGAAGGCAGGTGGAGGAGCAGAAAGGGGGCATGACCAAGGTTGAGGTTAATGGAGTCATGTGAATCCTGTGCCAAGCCAGATGTTCACCAGTGTCCTCTGGCCAGAGGACAGAGAAGGGTGGCTGGCTTCGGGACGGGCAAGGGTTGTTGTGCCAGGGTAGCATGGTCCTGTAGCCCAGCCTGATGTCTCAGGAGGTGTTAGATTGGACCTGTCACATGGGCTAAGAGATGTTGGTGACTGGGCCCCAGAGCCAGACAGTGCTTCCCCCTAGAATGCTGGGTGGGAGTCTAGGCTCAGGAATAGGGAATGTGTGCTTCTCTCATGAAGGCTTGGGTGGGAGCTGTCATCCCTGCTGGCTGGAAAGAGGTGCAGAAGCATTCTCCCTAGGTGGCAGTTGGAGGCCCATTGATCATTTTAGTGAGACATGTGTGTTGGGCTGATTCTCTTGGCTGCTTCTGGTAAAGCTGGGCGTTTTGATGGCTCTGTGGGTCTTAGGCTCTCAGTACCGTTATGCTTTCCTTCCGTTCCCTTCCTGGGCTTTAGCCAGGGCATGTCCTGGACACTAGAGTCTCTCTCTCTCTGGGACGCCCCAGGTTCTGCCCAGCTGGCCCTGTTTCGTAATTCTCTCCGAAGCCTTTTCCCACCCCAGTCTGCCTGGTGATGGGACAGCAAACAAGCTCTCCCTGGTCACTGGCAAGGGCCAGATGGGAAGTGGGGAGTGTGCGAGAGCCGCGAACTTGTCGCAATCATGTTGCCATGGTGACACAACTCTGTTTAGCTGCCTCTCTCTGGTCCTAGCCCACATGGACTAAAATAAGTTTAACCTGCAGCTCCCTGGCTTCCCAAGGTCAGCTCTCCTGCCTGGGCCTGTGTGTGTGTGTGTGTGTGTGTGTGTGTGTGTGTGTGTGTGTATAGAGGGGTCCAAAGGAGAATGAATCCCACACATTGACCCCTGCCCCCATCCCCTTCCCCAGCCTAGTCTGTGTCTCTTAGACTGGTGGGTCTGAGACCTCAGTACATCAGAATCACCTGGAGAACTTATTAAAACACAGATTCTTGGACCCCATCCCTGGAGGTTCTGGCCTGCACCTGAGGACTCACCTTTCTAAGAAGCTCCCAGGATCTGCTGGTGGTCCAGGGATCCCCCAGGAACCACGTCTTTAGATGTTAGTACGTCACAATAAAGGAAGACAGTCAACTTTGGTTTTCTGCATTGTCTATCAGGCTGCCTCCCAAGCCCAGCCACTCTTAGAGCAGAAAGGGAAGGCATGGGCAGGGCCTTGCTCACCACTTCTGGTTTTTTTTTTGGTCTCTTCACAGGAAGCAGGAGCTGGCCAACAGCTCAGATGTGACCCTCCCAGACCGGCCACTGTCCCCTCCTCTCACTGCACCCCCCACCATGAAGGTAAGAAGCTCCTGGCTGGGAAGCAGTGAGGGAGGGAGTGTGGGGGAGAGTCTTGAGGCCTGACTGTGGCTTTGGCTCCAGGCCAGCTGCCCTTGTCCCACTGGGGGCCATGGAGTGCCTGTTGCCTCTGGAACCAGCATCCAATTAAGCTTTCCAGAGCAGGAGGAAAGTGTGATGGAGGCTCAGGGGTGTTTGTGTCAAGGGGCAGCGAAGAAATAGACTGGGACTGAAATGGGTTTGGCAGGACGCTTGGTTATTAGCGAGAGGCCTAGTGGAGGGGTGGGGTTTGGGAACAAGGGGCCCAGGCTGGAGGAGGTAGAAGAGACAGAATGTAGTTGGGTGTCTTAAGGGGCAGCTGCCAGGGACTGTTTGGGGCTGGGAGTGGATGTTCCTGGGACTTGGGTGGCATCTCCATGCTGCCTACCTGCCTCTTTCTGGTCTCCTTGGGATGGCCCTATTACCCCAATTCCTACATGGGAGTTGCCCTGAAGGCTGGGAGCGGGGTAGTGGTGTATCAGCACTTTATTCAGAAGCCTCTTTCTTGGGAGATCACATCCCAGGACTCCAGGCCTAGGCTATCCTCTTCCAGGAAAGAGGAGCCTATCTTCTCTGCCACCCCCACAATCTTCTTCCCCTTTCACCTTTCACTACTCCTGCTCCCACCCCCTGCAGGATGGCTCCTTGGGCCTGCACTGGCCTTCAGGGGGGCTTGCTGCTCAGCCACTGCGCCTGTCTGGGATGCTGTACATCCTCTCCCCTCCCTCCTGCCTTCACACTTTTTTTGGGTGAGGGCTGGCTCTGAAGAAGTCACCTGCCTCCTGAGTCATCTGAAGGGACACCTAGGCCAGCCTGCATCCCTGTCCCAGGCCTCTGCTCTGAGGTGATTCACAGGGAAATAACTAGGCATCTTTTCCCTACTGATCTGTCTTGCTCCCCCTCTCCCCTGACTTAATCTTTTGTAGTGTGACACCCCCAAAGGGAGCAGATAAAAACTGTCCATCTTCCTGTTATCAGCACATATCAGATACCCGCCTTGTACAGAGCCACTTGGTACACACTAAGGGGGAATATATGCAATGGCAGTAAAGCCTGCCCTGGTTGGGTTAGGTGTTCAGTGGGGGGTGGGAAGGGGATGGAACAGGACAGAGGGCTGACAGAAGACAGCTCTACTTCCCTCCTGGTGGAATACCAGGACCTACCAAAAGCCAGGCCATCTACACCAGCCCAGTTCTAGGGCTGGTATCTGACCCAGATGCTGGGGTGGTTTGCTTGCACCAGGTAAAGCCAAGGAACATGCATTCTTCTGACTTTCAGCCCCTTGGTCTGCAGAGCTGGGCGTGGGAAGCTTGTCTCTGCTTATGGATGGTTAGTTTGTAAGGAGAGCTTGGAAAGCCTGGGAGGAGTCCCTGAGTACTCTTGGCAGCCTTTACTCACACGCTCGTTTAATTCACTCAACACCCAATATTTATTTGAATGTTGTATTAGTCAGGACTCTTGGTTGCAAGTGACAGAAACAACTCACTTCAGCTAAGGCATAAAAGGGAACTTTTCTTGCCTTTGTCACAACAAGTATAGATGCCAGGCAAGTATATATTCGTGGTCTCTGTCTCTTTCCCTCTGCATTGTGTGTTACTTTCATCCTTTGTCAAGCTTTGTCTCTGTGGTGGTGAGATAATGACAATATCTTGGCTAAGTAACCGCCATGGAAAAGAAAGAGTATCTTTTTCCCATTAGTTCCAACAAAAGTGCCAGGGAGGAAGCTCATTGGCTTGGCTGAGGTCACATGTCTATACCTGAACCAATCATTGTGGCCAGAGAGATGGAAGGCTCTGATTGGCTAGGCGTGGTCTCATGACTTAAACTGTAATAACTTGGAATGGAGGAGGGGTGGCTCCTCAAAGGAAATTGAAATGCTAGTGTGAAAAGAGATGAAGGCAGGGCAGGCTAGACCAACAGCTTCCTATCAGGTGCTGATGATGTGCCAGCCCAGTGCTGGGTGCTGAGCACCTAGGAGTGAACTAGATATTGTGGTTCCTGTTGTCTTAGAGATTGTAGTCTCTCTAGGGAGTCAAAAGCTGTAAAGTGAAGAATGAGAGAGGGATGGTTAGGTATGGTAGATGTTCCAAGGAGAGGTGCAGTTGGCTCAGGGAAAATATGAGGCTGATGCCTGAGGGGCTTTGATGACAGGTAGAACTTCCTGGAGGGAATGGTATTTAAACTGAGCCCTGAGAGTTTAACAGGACTTAGGCAAAGTTGGAGTCAGAGTGAAGCATAGTGTTCTAGATCCTTGCTATTCTGAGGCCAGAGGACCAGCAACACCTGAATTGTTTGGGAGATCCTTAGATGAGCAGAAACTTAGGGCTGGGGGGTGCAGCTCAGTGTTTGCTTAGCACGTGAGACCCCAAGTTCATCCTGATACTATTTTTTTTTAAAAAAGGCAGAATCTCTCAGGCTCCATCCAAGGCCATTTATTCAGAATTTGAATTTTACCTACATTTCCAGGTGATTTTAATGCACGTGGCAGCTTGAGCAGCAGTGTTTAGACTTGGGAAATGCTTCAAGGAGAGAAAAGGTTAGGTAGGGTTGGGGATGTGGCTCAGTGGTAAAGCACTTGCATAACATGCACCAGGCTCTGAGTTCAATTCCCCCTACTTCAAAAACAAAAACAAAAACAAAAAACCCCTCAAAACAACACACACACACACACACACACACACACACACACACACACACACACACATCCCAGGATGGTGAGCATCCCAAATTAGGGATAAAGAGGTTGATAACTATAGGCAGAAGACAGGGTCAAACAGACACCTGGAAGTTTGGCAGAGGATTTGGAAGTTTTCCATATTGCAGTAATTGAAGAGTTTGGCTAGAAGATTCAGGTGATGGGACTTTTGAACAATCACCCCGGATGTTGTGAAGGGGATGTGTGGGAGGGAGCAGAGTAGAGATTAGGAGATGATCCAGAGGCTACTGCAGGAGTCCTAGGGAGAGGATTGGGACTGACTCCAAGGAGCCAGTGGGCTTATTTGAAAGTGGTCGGATCTTGGATTTCCTGCATGGTAGCTGGGTGACGTGAGAGGATTTGAGGAGAGACAGGAGGCAAGAATGTCCCCCAGGTTTGGAGCAACTAGACTTGGTATAGCCATTCTTTAAGACAGGAATGACCCAGGAGGGAGGAAGAGGGTCAGGTTGGAAGTTCTGAGTTGGACATGCCTGAGACAGGAATGGGCATGTCAGTGAGCAGCTGGGTATTTGGGGCCAGGCTTGGAGGAAGGGTGTGGCCTGGAGGTCAGACTCTGGGAGTGGTTCTCATGGAGGAGAGAACTGAAGCTCTGGGGGTGGGTGAATTTTTCCAGGGGGAGGGGAAGTGAGAAGAGAGGTTCCTGGGGAGGCAGCTTAAGGAGCACCCCCAGGTGGAAACTGGTGCTGGGGCTTCTGCCAACAAGGCTGGACACTGGCATGGTGGGAGGAGCATTTCGAGGGAAGGGATGGCAGCTGGGCCCACTGCTGTGGAAAGGCCAAGTATGACTTGGATTGCACAGTGGCCACTGGGCAGAGTGGCCTGACGGTTGCTGGGGTGTAACTGAGACCAGTCCTAGAGAGGGGTGGAGGTGACAGCAGATGGCATAATGCTGAGGAGTGAGTGGAGGTGGTGAAAATGTGAGAGGATACAGACCCAAGTGTGCGGACGTGTTGAAAGGAAGGAGTTAGAGGGTAGGTGGAGATGAGGAGCCAGAGGAGTGGTCAGGAATCTGCTCTGCTCTGGCCATCCGGGACCAGGGGTGATCAGGGAGGGGGGCCCAGAGTGGATCAGTAATCTTCAGGGAAAGCTCCATGACCCACAGTCAGAGGACCTCTCCTGCCCCAGGTGCTCTGTCCTTTTCCTGTTTAACTCAGCTCAGGAATTTCCCAGCTGATGACTTTTCTGTCCTGACCCCAAGATCAGAGTCAGCGCTGGGAATGGAGGAAGAAGATCGCGCCTCATCCTGAGGCTCCAGTCTGGGTTGGGACCCTTTGTGGTTGGTGTTGGGGGTCAGAGTGTGAGTTGTATGTGCTCTTTGTGACTGTCAGGTGGGTTTATTTTGTGGCTCTGCCAGCCTGTGGCTACAGTTAGGAGTTTTTCTGAGGCTAGGACTTTTTCCTCTTTGTGTAAAGTTAACTGCTCATCAGGGATTTAAAACCATAGTCCCCACCTCACTCCAGCCTGCTCACAACAGCGTGATTGTCCCTTTGTGACCACACCAAATAACATCACAGTTTCCCATTACCGAAATGTTGATTCTCCTCCTGTACTGAGTTCCTTGAGTGTAGTCACTGTGTCCTGGTTTTTGGATTCCCCAGGCCCTGGCTTGTGGAAGGTGCCTGGGAGATGTCTCTTGACCGTAGAAGACATCCAAGTGGGAGGAACTTGTTCTGCCCTGGTTTTTGCCTGAGTCTTCTGTCTCATCATACCTGGTTCCCTGGTCTCCAAGGGTGGGATCAGGCCTCTGCTTTGTTGACACCTCCCAACCTCCCCGGGTTATTTTTGTTCACTGAGGCTTGAGACACCTTGGATGGTGGCTGGATATACTCTCTTTCATCTCTGGCTCTGGGAGGTTCATGAATTGATTCTCTAGCCCCTGAGCACCTGGGCAGTGGGAGATGGCTTCATCCAGTAAGGTCTCATCCAGTTCCCTTGGGAATAGGGGTTCAGGGTGGGGAAATCAAGGATACCCTTTTGATGGCTTAGCTTGGGAGTCAGGATGTCGGGGGTGGGCAATCCATTTCTTTTATAGATAAAAAGTCCAGAGTCCCACAAGGGGGAAACGATTCATCAAGTCCCACTGAAGGTGGTTGTGTACCTCCCATCATCAAAAGACAGTTAAGGGGCTGGGCATGTGGCTCAAGCGGTAGCGCGCTCGCCTGGCATGCGTGCAACCCGGGTTCGATCCTCAGCACCACATACCAACAAAGATGTTGTGTCCGCCGAAAACTAAAAAAATAAATATTAA